CTCGCTGCTCTAAAAACCATTTGGAATTGGTCCAGCTTACATATCTTTTGGATGTTTAAGAAATAGATTAAGAGGTCAGCAGGGAAAAAGAGACATCACCAGATGGTTGTCTAAATGGACAATGGTAAGGAAAAAAGAGAGGGGAGTTGAGGGGGGAGGGAGGAAGGGGAGTTAGTTGTAGTGAAACTGAAAGGGTCTATTAAGACCCCAGACTCAGAGAAACCTCCAGTCACCAGGTGAGGGAGCTTGTGATAATTCAGATCTGTTCAACTGAGTGTAGCTGCAAACCGAAGTCAACAGGGTTAAACTATGTAGGTTTCTCCTGATTTCCAAAAGTAGACCGCTCTTATTTGGTACGATAGGTAATAGTGTTCTGAGAACACTATTGCCGTCAATTTAAATGGAAAATACATGAGCATTCCAAGACCCAAAAATTCATCTATAAATCATACCAAATAAGGATGTTCTACTTTCAGATTTGGGAGGGAGACAGGGAATAATGGAAGGGGGGAAGTACTTCTTAAACTTTAAAGTATACTCGAATTACTTGGGATTCTTATTAAAATGCAGATTCTGACTCAATAAGTCTATGGTGTGTCTTGAGATTCTGCGTTTCTAGCGAGCTCTCAGATGATGCAGATGATGCTGGTTCCACACTCATTGTGGTATTAAAAGACCATGTCCCTGACAAGATGACTGAGGGACAACTTCAGGATTCCTTATCCAGAGGCCCAACTTCATATTCAAGAATCCGGTATCTTTTCATATCAGTAAGTGTGAGATAGTCAAGTCAAGCTCTAGAAATTCTCCCTGACAGGACCAGCTCAGATCACATGCCCATCCAGTGGGCCAGTAAGCCAGTGACTGGTTAGGGGAATGGGCCATGTATAATTTGCTTATGTCCACAAGTCCATCCTCCAAGTTGGGTGAGAAAGGAAAATCCTCTGAAGCACAAGGGCTTCATGAGAAAGAGGTGGCTACCAGATAAACTGGGCACTGTGGGGTGCCCAGAAAAATGCATGCTGGGTAGCCCACCAATAGAGCATTTGGTGACTAGCATCGGCAAAAAGTAGAGGCTGTGTTCTTAGCCAATCTTGAGTCCTTTGAAGATTTTACTCTGTGTTTGCAAGGCTGTGTTGAGAACTGCACACCCACAAAGGGTTCTGCCAATGTCATCTGTTCTATACCACACACACACACACACACACTCTCTCTCTCTCTCGTTCTCTCTCTCTCTCTCCCTCCACTCTGTAAAGTAGGGAAGGCAGTGATAGAGCATCCATGTTCCATGACAGAAGTGTGTTTTCCAGTCTCTGTCTTCTACATTATGGACCTCTTGCCTTGCCCCCACCATTTCTACTGCACCGCTATGAGATCCAAAGGTTTTCTTAGGGAAAACATTAAACTAGTAAACTAGTAAAATGTACCAATGCTGTGTTGCACTTTCCATGGTTTCAACTACTGGGGCTATTCTGCTTTGACTTCTGTGTAATTTTAGCAAAATCATTCAACCCAGCAAGATGACCGATTAATACTGATTTTAGCACTCAAAGTTCTAGAACTGGGGTATACCTAGAAACTCTTCAATCCCTGCCCACTCTGAATGGTTGTTGACTCTCCTTAACCTTGCTAAATCTCCCTTTACTGATTTGTATAATAAGGTAGTTGTATTAAATCATCTCTCTTTTTAAAGATTTATTTATTGATGCACACAAGAGCTGGGGCACAGGCCAGAGGTGTGGGGGGTGAAAGGATTCACCAGAAACAGAGTGGGGAACAGAACAGGCAGATTGACTGAAGTACACTGCTGAGGGAGGGGAGCAGCGGGCGAGACAGGAGAGGTCTGCTGCACCTTGTGGGTTGCTCCCTGGCTGGCCAGGAATCAAACTCATGCTGCAGTAGCTGCGGATTGCTTCATAAGTTGCGTCTTACCCCTTGTACCACTAGGGAGACCCATTAAATCATCTCTTAAATTCCATTTAGCTCCAGATAAAACTAGTTACATTAAGCTGTTTCATTATTTTATTTACATATATTTGGGCTGTTTTTACCAAAGGAGTTGAAGCAACTTTTAAGAATGAGCAGTATAGGCTCCCAGGTGGCGCAGTGGGTTGAGCACAGCAAACTGTCCGCAGCCTTTGCAGCACAGGTTCGATTCCCAGCAAGCCAGGGAGATTCCCACATGGTGTGGCAGACCTCTCCTGTTGCACCCGCTGCTCCCCTCAGCTGTGTATTTCGGTCCATCTGCCTGTTCTGCTCCCTACTCTGTCTCTGGTGAATCCTCTCACCCTCCCATGCCTCTGACCTGTACCTCAATTCTTGTATAAAAATAAATCTTTAAAAAAAAAGAAAAAAACAAAAGAATGAGCAGTATAATTGAAAAGTATATATAGATTTAAAAAACTAATGTGACAAAACATCTAGATAAGAGAAATAAGACCAAGGCTAAAATTGAAAGAGAGATATGATAGCTATTTGATCCAGTAATTATTAAAGTTAAGTACATAGAATAACTCTAATGGTCCATTGGCCATGGCCCTTTCTGGAGGCCACCCCCTGGACTTTTTTCCTTATGTCTCCCCTTTCCTCCACCGAAACCCTACATTGTAGGTCTTCTTAATTCTCTCAGAAGGAAATCCAAAACTATATTTCCTTCCTCTTTCAACAAACTGAACATGTCAGCTCTTAATTTATAGATTCCTTATATTACTGTCCAGACTTACTTATCATGAAGACTCTAATTCAGAACTTGATTTGGGTATTATCTTTAAATAGCCAATGTCTTTTGAAGTGTTTTGTCCAAAGTAAGAACCTTAACTCCCCAGAGTGAACTCAAGTCTCTACCTTGAACTACACAAGGAATTTTTAAGGCCTTGGATCAAGGTATGACTGTCTTTGCAAACTAATAGGTTTTCTCCTAGCACTTATGGGACCTGCAACTGTCTGGGGAATATGGGTATGAATTTAGGAAGAGAACTTTCTTTCTTTTCCATGGCAAATGCCAAAGGCTGTGAACTTTTCTTTGTGAAGAACATGAAGAAATTACATCCAGGAGAAGATAAATGAACATCTTGCAGAAGCAAGGGTCCTTCTTAAAAAATTATTTTTTTGTTTTAATTTTGCTTTTATTTTTGTTAGTTATAAAAAAATAATACACGCGGGCCTCCCCTGGTGGCGCAGGCGGTTGAGCGCAGCGCTGTGAAGCTGTCCGCAGCCTCTGCAGTGCTGGTTCGATCCCAGCCGGCCGGCCAGGGTCCCACATGGTGCGGCAGACTTCTCCTGTCTCGCCCACTGCTCCTCTCAGCAGTGTATTTCGTCAGTCTGTTCTGTTCTCCGCTCTGTCCCTGGTGAATCCTCTCACCCTCCAGCAAATCTGGCCTGTACCCCGGTTCTTGTGTAAATAAATAAATAAATCGTTCAAAAAAAATAATACAGGCATACCATAAAAATCAAACAAAAAGGGTAAAAAATAATACTTCTTTTCCCCCTAGAATTATTCCCCAAAGGAAGATATTCTTGCATATCTTTCTAGTGAGTCATGTCTTTCATCAAAGTTGTCTGTCAAAGATTTAGAAGCTAATTTAACACATAACGTATCTGTCAAAAATAAATGCAAGATACTGGCTGAGTATAAAAGCCATGGTTTAAATTGATTCTTAAATCATGCATATTATAATTTCATAACCAAAATCCTTTCTTACCTAACATAGATTACCTGGCAGGGGTAAGCTAATATGCCAAAAGGCAAATACCCCAAAAGAAAAATAAAATGTTTTTTGAATAGTTAGCAAATGCAAGGTTCATTAGGGAATCCTTTGAAATTCAAAAGCTTTTATGTTCATGAGCTATAGAAATTTATATGTTTTAAGATACAACTTGAGATGTCTTTACATCAGATCATCTATCTGTTAGATTCAGATTTCTTAAGATGGTGAAATGCTTCAAGTAGTTATATATTTCTAAAAGTGATTCAATATTAGATTATTGAGCGTTGGAAGCTGAAGTATGAATGGCACCAAATTCAGGAAGGAAAACAAAAATAGGGCCTCCCTGGTGGCCTAGGGGTTGAGTCTCAGCGTTATCACAGCTAAGGCCTGAGTTGGATACCCAGCCAGAGAGCTGACCCACATATGGTGCAGCAAACCTCTCCTGTTTCGTCTACCTCTCCCTTCAACAGTGTATTTCAATCGGTCTGTTCTGGCCCCTGCTCTGTCTCTGGTGAATCCTCTCACCCTCCCCCACCTCCTCACCTCTGGTCAACACCCCAGTTCTTCTATGCAAAAATAAATAAAATAAAATAATCTAATTTCCTCAACGTTTGCCTTGCTTTTTATTTTTTAAGTCCTTTTGAGGGAAACCAAGTTTCCCTTTCTAATAATATATAATTTTATGATAAGTAATCTCAAGTTAAAAGTAATGAAAAGAAAACTAAATAACAGAGTTTGAAACCCTTAATATATGTGCATATATAATCAAAAACCACCAAGATCATCTCTCTGCATTTTAATTTATTTTTCCATAAGATTGAAATAACTTACTTCATGGGGTTTACTTGAATGGGTGGATTGTAAAAAGAAACAAAGAATGTTTAACCAAACCCTATCTTATTAGTTGTCTATTGTTTGTGACAAAATTACCCACAAAGGTAGTGATTTCACACCAGCAATATTTATTTAGTATCTCACAGTTTCTATGGATCAGGAATCCAGCTAGACATAACAAGGATGTCTTTTCTCTGTTGTTCAGCGTCAGTGGCTTCTAAAACTGAAGCCTGAGAGTGGGAATCACTAATAGGCTCTGAAGTTTAGATAGGCTCTGGCAGTAGATGCTGTTAGCTGAGGTCTAGCTGGGGCAGAAGGTCAGAACACCAACACCAGGTGGCCAGGGTTTCCTCAGAAGCCCAGGTAGGTGGGTTCCAAAGGCAAGAGTCATGAGAGAAAGAACTAGGTGGAAACTCTATCCTTATTATGACCTAGTTTCAGAAGTCAGAGGGCATCACTTTCACCAGACTCCATGGGGATGTCACCTAGATTCTAGGGGAGGAAATCCAGACCTCCATCTCTCAGTGGAGGAGTGCGAGGCACATTATATACACGGCATATAGAATGGGAAAAACTCATAGATGTGTCCATCTCTGGAAAATACAATCTACTGCACTATCCAACATGGTAAGGTTATTGTGAGGAGTAGCAGCAAAGCTAGGAAGATCTATTTGACATGATTATTGGTGGCTTCTGTTATCCTTTTGCCAAGCCAGTGAAATAGTTAGGCATACTATTGTAGATATACAAAGATGTGTCTCTGTCCCCACCTTCTTCTTTAGACTTCTTTTTTTTAAGCCTTTCTCTCCCAAAGATTATTAATTTCATAATTCCCCCTAAACGCCCAGGCGACAAACTTCTATTTCTTTACCTCCCATGCCAAGTTATCCTGGGTGTCCCAAACTGGACATTTTTTATTTCATTTTCTTGTTTAATTAACCTGGTTAGTTGTATAATGTTGAATGGAGGTGGTGAGAATGGACATCCTCCCCTTGTTCTTGATCTTAAGAAAAAAACATTCATTCTTACATCATGAAGCCTGAGGTTGCGTGTGGGTTTTTCATAGATGTCTTTTATCTGATTGAGGAAGTTCCATTTTATTCCTATTTGTTGAGTGCTTTTATCAGGAAAGGGTATTGAATTTTATCAAATGCTTTTTTTGTATCCAGAAATTTCTTAACTGTTTGACAGCATTCATCAGTAAAGCTGTCAGGAACTAGGCTTTTCTTTGTGGAAGACTTTTGGATTACTAATTCAATTTTGTAACTTATTTTAGTTGTATTCAGATTTTCTATTTCTTGAGTAAATCTGGTAGTTTGCTTCTTTTCAGGAACCTGTTTGTTTCATTCAAGTTATCTAACTTGTTAGCATACAACTGTTTATAGTAATGCCTTAGCATTCTTTTTTTATGTAAGGTCAGTAATAATGTCCCTCTTTCATGTCTGATTTTAGCAGTGTGGATCTTTCTCTCTTTTTTTTCCCTTGTTCAGTCTAGCTAAAGATTCATCAGTTTTGTTGATGTTTTCAAAAAACCAGCTTTTTTTTTTTTTTTTAAAGATTTATTTATTTATTTATACAAGCACTGGGTACAGTCAGAAGTGAGGGAGGGCGAGAGAATTCACCAGAGCCAGAGCGGGGAGCAGAGCAGGCAGAAGGACCAAAGTACACTGCTGAGGGGAGCAGCGGGCGGCAGGAGAGGTCTGCGCGCCATGTGGGACCCTCCTCCGGTGGCCGGGGAGCAGCTGGGGATTGAACCGGCGCTGCAGAGGCTGCGGGCAGCTTCGCAACCCAGCGCTCAACCGCTGCGCCACTGGGGAGACCCTCAAAAAACCAGCTTTTGACTTCATTTATCTTCTCTGTTATTTTCTACTCTGTCTCGTTAGTTTCTTCTCTAATCCCATTACCGCCTCCCTTATGTTGCTAACAAAGCTATTTTTTATGTTTTGAAAAGAGAAAAACTTACTTATCCAATCTATTATTGATGGTGATGGCCATTTGGATTGTTTCCAAATTAAGGCTACTTTGTATAAAACTGTTAGAATACTCTTACTCATATTCATATGAACATATATTTTCATGTATCTTGGGGAAATAACTCAAGATGGAATAGGAATAAGGTAGGTGTATGTTTAGCTTTATAAGACAATGTCAAACCATTTTTCTAAGTAGTTGTTCCATGTTGCACACACTCCAACCAGAAATTTATGAGAATCACCATATCTTCTCAATGTTTGATATTGTCAGTCTTTCCTTTTAGCTCTTCTGCTGGGTATATATATATGTATATATATATATATACATATATATATATATCTCCTGATTTAATTTGCATTTCCCTGATAACTAATGAGGTTGCCCACTTTTTTTACTTCTGCCAAGGTCACTGTTCAACTGTCTCTTTTTCTGTAAGATTGCCTGTCTTTTCCCGGTTGATTTGAGTTCTTTATGTGTTCTATATATGTGTCCTTTGTCAAATAAATTATAGTATTGATGGGAATCAGGATGCTACCCCCAAAATATGACCTCTTGTGACACTGAATATGTCAAGCTGAAGGAATTTGAAAAACGACCTGTGAAGGAAGGACTTTCTGACCATCCCTGAAGCGGGTCATGCAACTCTCATGTGAGAAGGGCATTCTTATCTCTGAAGATGGAGGGACATAGAGAGGAATCTAAATGAACAGACCTTGGTAAATTTCCCCCAGTCTATTACACTTGCTTCATACTCTTTGTCCTATCATGTCTTTGTACAAGTTTTCACTCTGCATAAAACCTAACATAAACCACTTAGACGTTGCTGTTTCTTTGATGTTTTCATTACCCAGTGAAGGTTCCCATGACAGGCTTTTCTCATGTTAATTTTTTTGTTTTGTTATGGGGTCCTTATCAAGAACATAAAAGGATAGATGAAGAAGATATATTTTCCCGTTATGGTGTGTTTCTTTTTTTTTAAGATTTATTTATTTATGCATACAAGAACTGGGGTACAGGCCAGAGGTGTGGGGGGTAAGAAGATTCACCAGAGACAGAGCGGGGAACAGAACAGGCAGACTGACTGAAATAAACTGCTGAGGGGGAGCACCAGGCAAGACAGGAGAGGTCTTCTGTGCCATGTGGGTAGCTCCCTGGCTGGGGATTGAACTCGTGCTGCAGTGGCTGCAGATAGCTTCATAGGTTGTGTCTTAAACCCTTGCGCCACCAAGGAGGCCCACCTTATGGTGTGTTTGTACAATGGATCACTGTACAGCAATCAAGTGAATGAACTATGGCCACATACAATTATGTGGATAAACTCAGGTGTAATAATAAACAAATGAAGCCATCTTAAGAGATATAAACTGTGTGATCCATTTGCATGGAGTTCAAAACCAGGCAAGACTAACCTACTATTTTAAGTCAGGAGAACGGTTCTCTTCAGGATATTGAGTCATAACTGGGAGGAGGCGTATGGTGACCTCTGAAGCACTGGTAACACTCTATTTCTCCTCAGGAAATGGCTTGCATGGGTGAGCCCCCTCTGTGACAGTCTATTGAGTCATCACTTTGCAGTTTGTGTACTTTTCTGAATGTTATTCTTGAATAAACTATTATTAAATTGTCTTCTTGTGAAGATGAGTTAGTTATCAAATGCTTGATAATTATTAGTAGGTACTCTGCATATGATGTATTTCTCCTTTATTGCATTGCTTTTCTGCTTTGACATTAAATATTTTTCTTGTGCATACTTTTTTTATATTGTAAAACTAAAATTTTGATCTATCGGTAGGTCAATAGCAGAGTTTAATTTTTCCTTTGCATTGGGCTGTAGACACCTTAGCAAATAACATAATCTGAGTTCCCAAAAGCTTTAAGATCTACCCTTCCCTATCAATCCCATAATGCTGAATATAATGCTCATGCAATGGAATGCTGTAGGTAACACTGCTGTAGCTACCCCCTTAGGAATTCATTGCAAAATGGTTTCACTGTACTTTGTAAAGCAATTTGGAATCCTTCATGATGAAGGGTTCTATATAAAGAAGGTAACATAATGGACTTGGCTTTCAACTTCTTTCATTTAAGCTTTAACAGAAACATGAATCTACTATATTAGCATCATAAACCAATAGGTGCTATATAAATGCTGAGTAGAAATATTCTGGATGAATAAAATTGCAAATATAACCATGTATTAGCTAAGTGCTTTACCAAGTATTATGCAAATGTGGATTAATAAGGCAATTATATTTAATTAAAATAATAATAATAATGCCACATTCTTTCAAATCTCTGGGCACCCATTGACTTAGTTATTTGGCTTGTCTCTGCCACCTAACCCAAGCCTAAATGCAAATTCACATGAGATACCTACTTGGAATGAATCAGTCTTCTCTGGGTTGGTACTAACAAAAGATCCAACAAGCTAAGGGGTGGGGACAAAGGAAGCCACTCTCCCTCACACACAAGATTGACTTGTTGCTCTTAAAAGAGTCCATGATATTTCAAACAATAACTTCTGGCCCTAGAAAATGTGCAGTATTGCTCAGTTACTTTAATTTAATTTCTATTTTCTGCCCACTAATTTTATATCTTAGGTTATTGGTTTTTCTGAATATTGCCACATCTCTTTGATCAGCTTTTCAGAGTTCTCTTGTATCACTTTCATTTGCTTTTCTACATTTTCTTTCATCTCTTTGATTTTCCTTTCCATGTCTTTGTGGTTGGATTCTGGAGAGTCGTTCTTACCTTGTGATATCATATTCCTTTAATGTGTCAAGGTGCTATGTGGTGTATATTTTTGTCTGCCTATCTTGCTAATTTAGATTTCCCTACTTTTTTAAGTACCTGTAGCAATAACTTAGTGATCTGAACTACTTTTACTTTTCTGCCAGGTGGATCCACAGTTTATATGATTTTTAATGACGTGGTTTTGCTGGCTTCTGTGGGCTTCCAGAGACCTGATTTGCAGTTGCTGTGTCAGAGGGTGGGAAGGGATCTGGAAGGGCACAGCTGCTAACTATGAATGTGCTGGGACGAGGAACTAACTCCTGTCTGGGTCATCACCAATCTCTCTCCTCTCTGGGGTTCCAGACCCAGGATCTGCAGTCTCCATGGTAGCAGTGCACTTCACAAAGTCAGTACCAGTCCCAAAGAGTAGGAGAGGGGAGTAAGGGCTACACACTATGCTTGTTTCACTGGGGATACAACCTGTTGTATTCGTCAGCTCCTCTGCATGGGTTCCCCTGTGTTAGGACTGTGTGCTTCCACACTGTTCAACCCTCCCCTCCTCTGGGCCACTGGCTGAGCAATAGTGCCATAATTTCTATGACAGCCTCCCCAATCCAATCCATAGCCTCTAGGGGTTTCTCTCCACCACCTCTTGCTTAATGAAGCATGAATCTCATCTGTGTCCCTTCTGGTACAGTAGGCCTGGTCTCTGAAGTCCAAGAGGTATTCTGGTTCCCACCAAGTAGCGTATTAAGACTCAAACCTAAATAGCAACTTGCAGATTTAAAAAGTATAATCAAGAAAATCCCAGTGCAATTCACCTAGATGTATTGAGAAACTTCTTTGTGGTAGGGCAGGGGCTGTTAAAAGAATCAAATTCAGACCTTACCCTCAACACTCTCACTATCTTATAAAGGAAATGAGAAGAAACTTTTCGGTTGTGTTGAAGCATTCTTTATGTGACAATGGTCCTGAGTCCCAGACAATTTCTTCTCCTTCAATTTTGGTTGTGAAAAAGCAGGAAAGTGAGAAAGAACTATCTATGGCTTTCTATTTTTTAGTACAAGAACACTTAAAATAGGGTCACTAATATTTTTGTCTTGCTAGACATCCTTATCTTTTTATTTTTTAATAAAGCAATAGGCAGTTTTCCCTTGTGGTTTGTAGCTGAGTTCATTATCAGAGGAACGCTTGGCTTTTAAATGGTGTTAACATTGAAATTCTCTTCTCTTGTCCCTAGTTAAGATTTCCTCGTCTTGATCTTCCCTTTCCACATATTGATCTCACATTGCATGCTTCAAAGTGTTCACTTAATCATTCTGCTTTTTCCAAGAGCATAGATAACTCTGAATGTGCCTCAGGTTTCTTCCTACACTTCCTTTGCCTCAAAAAAGTATCTTGAATTGTAAGCCTTGCTCTGGGCCGATCCCATATGGATGGACTTTTATCCACGAGGGGATGGGTAACTTTGGGTGCTTCATTTAGAAACTAGACTCTTTGCCTTACCTGTATTGTTTCCTAGTTTTATTAAAGTTCCTTCCCATTAAAGTCTCCTATGTTTTGTGTTGATGCGGCGGATGGCAGAACCCATTTAGAATAGGCAGGTTTGCGGGGCTTGGGCTGCCCCTCTCCCTGTCCTATAACAGAATGAGTAAATCTGCTAATAACAAAACTACCCAGACCAAAAAAATCTTTCCACAAATTCTCCCAAATGGAGCTGACCCTAAGGGCAGAAAATGTAGCAATAACATTTATACATTCTCTCCGAGCTCCCTGACCCATATATCGATTTGTCCAGTGGAAAAAAAACCTTAGCCTGTCACAGTCGCCACACTTGACCCATACTTCCTGAACTCTAAAGTGGATACAGGTGAAGCTGTTTGGGTATTATGAGTTATAAGCCTGGTTTAAGATCTGGTCATTTTGCCCTTTTGTTCTTGTCTTCCTTCTGTTTGACAATTTGTAGTTTTTAATTTTTGGGGTCAGAGTAATAGCTCTTAAGCAGATGGTTGTAATCCGTCCCCAGGGATGACTCTTGGAGGGAAGTTGGACAAGAGACTCAGCAAGGATCAAGGGTTCTGTGACTCACTCACTGAACCCTACACCAGGAATGAGGGGTGTTGATGGCTTCCAACCTGTTCTTCAGCAAGTAATAAATCTTAATTGATCTTTCTTCACATGGTAGGGACAATAGCCATATAAGAGGACATGAAAAATAATATGTGCTAAAAATGCATTCACAAGAGCCAAAGTCATTTACACTTAGAACTAAGTTGTTGAGTCCAGTCCATTTGTTATTTTTTTCTGTCCAAGTTTTAGTAACAGGATGTTTTTAAATAGTTTACATTTCTCTTGGGACATCTTCCCTAACCAAATGTCATACTAGTGTTAGCCAGGAGTTACTTGGATTTACTCAATTCTTCTTGCTTCCAGTCCTGTGATTTAGGTCAATTCTGCAAGGATTTCCACATTTGGAGCATAGGCTTATCTTGTCTGTCCATAGAGAAAAATTATGAGATCAGTGGGAATTTTACATAATTCATCATTAAATTCTTGGATGTGAAAAATTTCAGTTACTTGGAATGCACGACAGAAGCAAACTGCAGCTGACACTCAAAAGCATGTTTGGTGAAAATGTTAAAGCTGGTAATTTATTTTTATTAACATTACATTATGTTTGATATCCCCTAAGGAAATTACATTTATTAGGTCATTCTTTTTTCCTCCAAACCATTTGTTATACTCCAAAAACATCTCTCTTTTCTGGTAATAGAGCAGTAGATATTCATTGTAGAAAATTTGGAAAAAACAGAAAAGTATAAAGAAAATGTAAAAGTGGGGCCTCCCTGGTGGTGCAAGGGGTTAAGCACTGCACTATGAAGCAATCCTCAGCCTATGAAGCAATCCTCAGCAATCCTCACGAGTTCGATCCCCGGCTGGCCAGGGAGCAACACACATGGCGCAGCAGACCTCTCCTGTCTCGCCTGCTGCTCCCCTCAGCAGTGTGTTTCAGTCAGTCTTCCTGTTCTGTTCCCCACTCTGTCTCTGGTGGGTCCTCCCACCCTCCCCCACCCCATCTCTGACCTGTAACCCAGCTCTTGTATGCATAAATAAATAAATCTTTAAAAAAAAAAAAAGAAAAGAAAATTTAAAAGTATTACTTGTGATTTTTCAATTCTAGGGGTTTTATTCTTGAAAGACATTCAGCAATGAACATTATTTGAAATCTTATGAAACTTAAATTTTTTTCTGAATTAATCATTTTCCAATTAAAACCCTGATTCATTCTTTTGACAGGAATCTTGCTGTTGCATCAAGATTCCCTGACATTGCACTTCCAGTGAAGCTTAGTTCTAGAATGACTCCTGTTCAGGTAAGTGGACAGGAAGATATAGGCGAGAGGTATTTAACCTGGTTCATCTCGCTGAGGGTATTGGCTAAGCCACTCTTTGCTTATTAATGTAATATTCTGTGAATAGAATCAAGACTAGAATTATGCATAAAATTGACAGTGTAACAGGGTGGTCCCCAGGAAAGGGGGAGATTCCAGGTTCCCTGCCCCACCCAAGGGAGGGTGGAGCTGAGCAGGGAGAGAAGAAGCTGCAGAGGAGACTGAGGAAGGAAGGAAGCAGGATGGAGAGCCAGGAGGAGACCTGGAGGAGGCACATAGAGTGGAGAGACATGTGAAGAAACTGTGCTTGCCTTTTGGTCGTGGACTGGGTGACACAGATGTGGGTGAGATCCGTGGGGAGGTGACAATGGCAACTTTTTTTTTTTTAAAAGATTTATTTATTTATTTATACATGCACTGGGTACAGTCAGAAGCGCGGGAGGGTGAGAGAATTCACCAGAGCCAGAGCGGGGAGCAGAGCAGGCAGAAGGACCGAAGTACACTGCTGAGGGGAGCAGCGGGGGGCAGGAGAGGTCTGCATGCCATGTGGGACCCTCCTCCGGTGGCTGGGGAGCAGCCAGGGATCGAACCGGCACGCTGCAGAGGCTGCAGGCAGCTTTGCAACCCAGCACTCAACCGCTGCACCACCGAGGAAGCCCAGACAATGGCAGCTTGTATCTTGATTTTGATTTTGCTCTTTTCCTTCTGGGCTTGTCTTGTTTCTGACCTTTTTTTGTGGGTCCCCACTGGAAGGTGCTTTAGACTTGTGGCAGGCTTTGGGGCCTTGCTCTAGGCCAATCCCATTTGGATGGAGTTTTACCCATGAGGGGACGGGTAACTTTGGGTGCTCAATTTAGAAACTAGATTCTTTGCCTTTCCTGTATTGTTTCCTAATTGTATTGAAGTTCCTTCCCATTAAAATCTCATGTTTTGTGTTAATGAGGCGGATGGCAGAACCCTATATAGAATAATTAGGTTTGCGGGATTTGGGCTGCCCATCTCCCTGCCCTGTAACAACAGGAACACTAAAAATTACTAAGAGAATATATTCCGCCAAAACAGTCTTAAGAAAGAAGATGGAGGCATCAAACCACTTGATTTCAAACTATATATACTATAAATTATAGCAATCAAAATATGATATTAGCATAAAAACAGACAAATAGATCAATGGGAAAGGATTAAGAGACCAGAAATAAATCTAAATATATGCAGACAGCTAGTATTTGACAGGGGAGCCAAAAACCCAATGAAACGAACAGTCTCTTCAATAAATGGTAAAGTGGATATACACCTGTGAAAGAATGAAACTAGACCCTTACCTTACATTCTTACCTTACTGAAAAATTAATTTGAAATGGATTAAAGACTTAAATTTAAATCTTGAAAGCTTGAAACTTTAGAAGAAAACAGAAAAGCTCCTTGAGATGGATCTTGGCAATGTATACTTGCTTGTTTGTTTTTGATATGACATCTAAAATAAAAGCAATAAAATAAAAAATAAACTGGGACTACAGTTTATTATAAAATGCTTTTGCAAAACAAAAGAAACAATAAAGTGAAAAGACAACCTATGGAATGGGGAAAAATATTTGCAAATTATGTATATGGTATGTAAGGGGTTAATATCGAAAATATATAAAGAACTCACACAATTCAATAGTAAAATGATCATCATCATTATCATCATCATCATAATCCATTAAAAAAGACCTGAAGAGACATTTTTACAGAGACGATATACAGACAGCCAAAAGGCCATGAAAAGATGGTCACTATCACTCATCATTAGGGCAATGCAAATCAAAGCCCACAATGAGAAATCACTTCATACCTGTTAGAATGTCTAGCACCAAAAAGAGATGCTAGGAGATAACAAATGCTGGTGAGGACATGGAGAAAAAAAGAACAGTTGTGCACTGTTAGTGGGGTTGTAAATCGGTGTAGTATGGAGATTCTTCAAAAAATTAAAATTAGAGCACCCTATGATTCATCAATTCCGCTTCTGGGAATATATCCAAAGGAAATAAAAACATTCAAAAAATATCTGCATACCCATGCTCATAGTAGTATTATTTATACTAACAAGGACATGGAAACAACCTAAGTATCCCTCAGTGGATGAATGGATAAAGAAGTTGTGGTGTATAAGTACAAAGGAACTTATTTAATCATTAAACAATGAGGAAATCCTGCCATTTGCAACAAAATGGATGAACCTTGAGGGCATTATGCTAAGTGAAATGAGTCAGAGAAACATAAAATCTCTCATTTATATGTAGAATCTCAACAAACAAAACACATACTCATAGAAAAAGAGATCACCGTTTCAGTCAGGCACTGAGTGGCTTTTTGGATCTTTTCTGATAACTGCAGATTGTAACAGCAGAGAACATGGCGGCCCAGAGGGAATGGGCCGATTGTGTCATCACAAGCAAGTGGGATGAGATTGTTGATAACTTTGCCAATATGAATTTAAAGTAGTCTTTTCTTCAGGACATTGATGCTAACAGTTTTGAGAAACCTTCAACTATTCAACAGAGAGCTATTATTCCTTTTTTTAAAGGATACGATGTGATTGCTCAAGCTCAGTTGGGTACTGCTAATGTCACAGGGCAAGGAGAGGGGCACCCCAGACCCCGCAAACCTGCCTGCTCTAAATAGGTTCTGCCATCCACAGAATCAACACATAACATAAGAGACTTTAATGGGAAGGAACCTTAACACAATTAGGAAACAATACAGGAAAGGCAAAGAATATAGTTTCTAAATCAAGCACCTAAAGTCACCAGTCCCCTCGTGGGTGAAAGTCCACCCAAGCAGGATTGGCCCAGAGCAAGGCCCCAAAGCCCGTCACAAGTCTAATGCATCTTCCAGTGGGGACCTGCAGAAAAGGGTCAGAAACAACCAGACAAGTCTGAAAGGAAAAGAGCAAAATCAAAATCCATTGTCACCTCCCCATGGGTCTCTCACCCACATCTGTGTCACCCAGTCCACTACCAAAAGGCAAGCACAGTTTCTTCACGAGTCTCTCAGCTCCATGTGCCTCCTCCAGGGCCCCTTCTGGCTCTCCATCCTGCTTCCTCCCTTCCTCAGTCTCCTCTGCAGCTTCTCTCTCCCAGCTCCACCCTTCTTTTTGGGTAGGGTAGGAAACCTGAAACCTCCCCCTTACTACCCTATTACACTAGGACAGCTACATTTGCCATTTCCATCCTGCAACAATTGGAGAAAGTCGTTGGTTTTATCCTCTTTAGAATCAGACTTTTGAGGTTGAGTATAAAAGATGGGGTCTGCAGAATCTTTTTGTATTATGAATTTATTTCCTGTTTGTAGAAATGGTTGTATTAGATGTTTTCTATCATTTAACAATGTACTGTGGTCTAAAAGATGCAAGTACTGTATACCATCAGCCAATTATGTTAAATTAGGATATCTGCCTTTATTGTGTTTGTCATTAGCCTGACTAGAAAGGCCTTTAAAATTGATTTTTTTTTTAAAGATTTATTTATTTATACAAGAACCGGGGTACAGGCCAGAATTGCAGAAGGGTGAGAGGATTCAACAGAGACAGAGTGGGGAACAGAACAGGCAGACTGAAAAAATACACTGCTGAGGGGAGCAGCGGGCGAGACAGGAGAGGTCTGCTCACCATGGGGGCATCTCTGCGGCCTGCGGGGGTCAAACTGGCACTGCAGAGGCTGCGGACATCATCACAGCGCTGCGCTCAACCGCCTGCACCACCAGGGAGGCCCTAAAATTGATTTTTTTTTTTTTAATAGAGGCATGTTTTTATTTTATTTTATTTTTTTATTTGTTTGTTTGTTTTGTTTATACATGCACTGGGTACAGTCAGAAGCGCGGGAGGGCGAGAGAATTCACCAGAGCCAGAGCGGGGAGCAGAGCAGGCAGAAGGACCGAAGTACACTGCTGAGGGGAGCAGCGGGCGGCAGGAGAGGTCTGCGCGCCATGTGGGACCCTCCTCCAGTGGCTGGGGAGCAGCCGGGGATCGAACCGGCGCTGCAGAGGCTGCGGACAGCTTCGCAACCCAGCGCTCAACCGCTGCGCCACCGGGGAGGCCCTAAAATTGATTTTTTTAAATAAAGTATTTGAATGTAGTTTGTTTGATGTTGTATTTATTCAATAAAGTATTTAATTAGTGGTAAGTGTGAATTGTCGCCTGTTGCTAAACCCCAGTAACCATATCCTAGGTAAGGTTAAATGCCCAGTAAAATTGCCATCTTGCATATGCTTCAATGAAGTCTGAATATTAAATAGTCTATTCACTTTAAAAAATAAGTATGTAGGGCCTCCCTGGTGACGCAGTGGGTTGAGTGCTGCACTGTGAAGCTGTTGGCAGCCTCTGCAGCGCCAGTTCGATTCCCGGGCAGCCAGGGAGAATCCCACATGGCATGGCAGACCTCTCCTGTTGTAACAGGGTGGTCCCCAGGAAAGGGGGAGGTTCCCTTCCCCACACAAGGGAGGGTGGAGCTGAGCAGGGAGAGGAGAAGCTGCAGAAGAGACTGAGGAAGGAAGCAGGATGGAGCCAGAAGGAGACCTGGAGGAGACGCATGGAGCTTAGAGACATGTGAAAAAAACTGCGTTTGTCTTTTGGTCATGGACTGGGTGACACAGATGTGGGTGAGACCCGTGGGGAGGTGACAACGGCAGCTTTTATCTTGATGTTGATTTTGCTCTTTTCCTTCCGGGCTTGTCTGGTTGTTTGTGACCCTTTTCTGTGGGTCCCCACTGGAAGATGCTTTAGACTTGTGGCAGGCTTTGGGGCCTTGTTCTGGGCCGATCCCATATGGATGGACTTTTACCCACGAGGGGACGGGTAACTTTGGGTGCTTGATTTAGAAACTAGATTCTTTGCCTTTCCTGTATTGTTTCCTAATTGTATTAAACTTCCTTCCCATTAAAGTCTCATATGTTTTGTGTTGATGCGGTGGATGGCAGAACCCATTTAGAATAGGCAGGTTTGCAGGGTTTGGGCTGCCCCTCTCCCTGTCCTATAACACTGTCACGCCTGCTGCTCCCCTCAGCAGTGTCTTCGGTCCATCTGCCTGTTCTGCTCCCCACCCTGTCTCTGGTGAATTCTCTCACCCTCCCATGCCTCTGATCTGTACCCCAGTTCTTGTATAAATAAAAATAAATCTAAAAAAAAGTATGTAAATTCAAATAAGAAAAAGACATGAGACTGTGGCTACCAATGCAGGGGTGGGAGGGAGGGGATCTGGAGGAGGTGGCCAAAACATATAGACTTCTAGTTACAAGGTAAATAAGTGCTAGGGATATAATGTACACATGATGGTTCTAATTAACACTGCTGTATGGCACACAAAGAAACTATTAAGAGAGTGGACTTTAAGAGTTTTCATCACAAGGAAAGACATTGATTTTCTTTTTTTTACTTTTTATTGTATCTATATATAAAATGATGGATGCTAGCTAAACTTATTGCAGTAATCATTCACACTATATGTAAGTCCAGCCATTATGCTGTATGCCTTAAACTTACACAACCTTACAAATCTCAGTAAAACTAGGAGGGGTGGGAGAAGAGAATATATTTAACAAGTTACAAATGAAATGTCAGCCTCCGGCTGCAAGGGAGTCTGGAGAAGTGAGTATTTTAAGTTGGACACATTTCTGCTATGAGAGAAAAGGTGTTTTTTAAGTGAGGGTCAAGGAGAAAGTGAATGTCTGGCAGGCAACTGACTGTATCTGCTGGGGAGATGTTACAGAGCCAATTGGGGCAAAACTGTGACCCTAACTGAGGGCCCCAAATCCTGTGTCCCAGGAGATTTGAGCTACCCTGGACTCATGCCCACTTTTCCATGTAAACCTGAAACTAAGTCAATAGGATGCTATGTTATAGAATTGTTAACAGAAGTAATGAAAAATAAGGTAATATTCTTTTAACAGGACATGTGGAGTTTTTACTGAACCCCATCATGTGCATGCATTTATAACTGAATTCACCTCCTATCTCCAGAAGACTTTTTAAAGTTAGGTTTCTGGGGCCTCCCCCGTGGCACAGCGGTTGAGCGCTGGGTTGCGAAGCTGCCCGCAGCCTCTGCAGCGCTGGTTCGATCCCCAGCTGCTCCCCAGCCACCGGAGGAGGGTCCCACATGGCATGCAGACCTCTCCTGCCCCCCGCTGCTCCCCTCAGCAGTGTACTTCGGTCCTTCTGCCTGCTCTGCTCTCCGCTCTGGCTCTGGTGAATTCTCTCACCCTCCCGTGTTTCTGACTGTACCCAGTGCTTGTATAAATAAATAAATAAATCTTTAAAAAATAAAAAATGAAAATAAATAAAATAAAATAAAGTTAGGTTTCTGGAAGCAAATTCTTTCTAGATACAAGAAAGAACCATTTAAATCTAGATGGTTATTCTAGATCCAGTAGTTTCTCAGACAAGCAATTCTAAATTGAAAGATATGATAGTGACTAATAAACATCATATAGAAAACCTCTATTTTTTAAGATTCAACAAATTTTCAAATTGGTGTAGCTTAATTCCACAGATTTGTATGTAAATAGGGCTGTCATCTTGTAGGCCATCATTCATTTAATGTGCTTCAAATTTATCTTGATTCTAAAATTCTCTCTAAAGCTACATTTCTACAACTTTTTCCTAGACATTATGTTCTTGGATTCAAATTAGAAAGTAAAGACATTCTCCTGCAATACCCTACACCAACTCCAAGCAAAGAACTTGCTAATTATCCATCACCTTCCTATTCTTCACCTTTGCTTCTCCGATCATCTCAGCTCACTAACTCTAACCTATAGATTGAGAAAAGTATTCAGAAATATGAAAGAGATGTGATTTGGAGCACAACTGTCACAATGAGGTTTTGTTTAGCTGCAGCCTTGTCCTTGCTCACTCTTTTCTGTGAGTGGCTAATTGCCCAGAATTTTTGAGATCTGGGGCTTAAACTCCATTGTCTATAGGCTGTACCTGCTATTGGATGAGATAACTACATTTGGCAGAGGTGTGTGTAGTTGTTTTGATGGCAGAGAACATTAATTTGCAACCATGGCTGCACAGAATAAAGTAAATTCAACTGCTGTCCTCCTAGGAGTAGTCATTTAGGCAAGAAAATAAATAGAAGAATTTTGATTATATTAGGAACTCTTATGCTATGTCCAGGGAGGCTCCATCTTTAAACTCTTGTCTCTTCATGTTTACATAAAAATTACAACGGAAGAAAAAAGACCCACAACTCCCTATACAAGCATTTCAAATTTGAAAATGTACCATGTGTTATTGGAATAATGCACACCACGATTTTACATTTGTTCATTATTTCATCTCATTAAGTGACATAATAAATGTGAAAGACACAGCGCGATACCTGGAACATAGTAGGTCACCTAGAAATGTCCTTGTTCACTTATATTTTGTGGCTCCTGCTTCCTGTCAGAAGTCATATCTGAAGAGAATCCCTAACTCCAACATATCTACAGTAGGGCAGAGCCAGTGAATTTCATGCCCTACCATTGAACCTCCAGCTTTCCCAGCCTCCACTATTTCCGCATGCCTCATGTTGCTCAGTTGTTAAGTTCAAGGAATCCATGATCACACCTTTGCCCTTTCCACACCGACCACAATTCAACAAATAGAGTGTTGGCCTAGCTGGGGGAGAACAATGCATATGAATAACTCATAATAGCACTAGGTAATAATGCTACACTCATAATAACCATTATTAAGATAGTTGATATTTAATGAGCTATTATATGCTATTACAGTGCTGCATCTTTTTATATACTGAACATAATTGTTGACTGATTGGGTCCTATGAAGTAGGCTTTCTTCTAGAAACATCTTTATTGTCTTCAGATACAGTCTGTCAGAAGTTGGATAATATCAGATATTCATCTCTCCTGGTTACTTTCAGTTATCGAAACAGTCCCAATTTCAGGTATGACTAAATCCAGTCCAGACTAAGACAAAACTTCAGACTCATATCAGGTTTATATCAGTCCTGATCCTTCATGGCTTCTGGCTCCCAACTACATCTCCATGAAGACCAGTTGATTTCAGGAGCTGCTGCTGTGATTATTCACTAGCATCCTCTTTTCATTTGAGCAGGCTGCCAACCTTACAACCAACTTTCCCTGTCTAGAAGAAGTTTTCCCTGTCTAGAAGTTTTCCCTGTCTAGAAGAAGATGGACAATAAATTCTCAGTAGAGCTTTTCAGAAGCAAGACACTTTGGCTACGTCACTCTCCGTGCTGGCTGCTACCTGCTGCTCCAGCAGTAATTGAGCGCCTGCTCTGCCTTCTTCTTCTCATGCACTGTGGGGTTGGGATGTTTTAAAACTCACATCTTTTTATGTAAAAGGAAGTTAAAGCCGAAGTTTCCACTACTCACCAAGAGAGGGAGAAAGTTGATTTTTCAAGGAGGGCATTTTCTGGAGGGAAAACTCATCCTCTTGAATGAAAGAGGGTTTGCCCTCTCACCGCCAGTGAGGCAGGGCTTCCCGGCCCACTTAACATGCAAGACCTAGAAAAGGCTAGTGAAACTCTTGCCTCCTCCTACACAGTGTATTACGGCCAAGATGGCTGGATCCCTGAGGGCTCTCTTTGTAAGACCTGAGGAATGTGTCTTGTTCCACTCTTTAGAGTGTGGGCTTCCTATCACCTAATCACTCCACTTTGGAGGGTCAGTTGAAATCTGAGACAAGAGGATAAGTTCCCTCCCACATTTAGGGGCACACACATTATCCCCACAACAGTCCTTGGAGGCATATAGTGATCTCCCTGCATTACAGATAGGGACCTTTAGGGAGTTAAAATATCTTATGCAAGATTGCATATGCAGTATGCTTACTACAGGATTAAAACCCAGGTCAAGAGAGAACAAGTGCTGGTAAGAATGTGGAGAAAAGGAACTCTTTTATACTGTTGGTAAGAATCTAGGCTGGTCCATTTTCTTTGGAAAGTAGTGTGGATGTGTCTCAAAAGGTCAAAAATGATCTGCCATATGACCCAGCAATTTCACTCCTACAATAAAAACACTAATTCAAAAGGAAACTGCACTCCCATGTTTATTGCAACATTATTTATAAAAGCCAAGCTATAGAGACACCTAAGTCCCAAATACAGATGAGTAGATCAAGAAGATGTGGTATATACACACACGACCCCCCTCACACACACACCCACACCCATCAAAAATGAAAACTCACGCCATTTGCAGAAACATGGATGGTGTTGGAAAGGATTATGCTCAGTGAAATAAACCAGAAGTAGAAAGATAAATACCAGGTGGTGTCACTTATATGTGGAATATAGAGATACGAAACAAAGGGTCACAGAAGGCAAAAATGTCACAGTATTACCAGGGCTAAGGGGTGAACCTGCATTATCTGTGTCTCTGATGACAAGTTTCCCAGGGTGCTGCTGAGGCTAGAAGGTGGTGGGAGAAAAGTCCCCAGAGGTCAACTGATGACACATTGTGGAAGCCTCGAGTGTGGGATGTTTTTTTAAAAGATGGGGAAGTTTGGATTCTGCCAGAGATCATAGGGAGTCTTATACGTTTTGACCAGGTAAGTAACTCCCTTGAATTTGTTTCAGAGATTGTCAGATGGAGGTAGGAGAATATGTGCAGGAGCAGGACGGTGGCTAGAAACAAATTGCAACGTGCAATCATCTGAGCGAGGGGCAATCATCTGAGCGAGGGGTAAGTCCAAGAGGCAGTGCTGCTGGAGATGCACAGGGGGCCCTGCAAATTTACAGACTCCCCCAGGTGACACACTGGTGGAGAGGTGCTGAGCTCTGCAGAGGTGAGTTAAGTGCTCAGCAAAAATGCACTTCTGCAGCATTAGAGAGCGAAGGCCAGAACATGTGTTTGTAATGGATTCCCAGGCTGCTAACAGTTAACACTGTTGATGACCTGCGGAGATGCCTGCAAATCTTGGTTATGACTTGTAAAGTATGCAAAGTGAGTCTGGACTGGCTCTTTGTTTCATCTCTTTAAAATATAGATTCTGGAGTGTGCGTGTATGTGTGTGTGTGTACATGTGTATAGTCAAGTCCAAATTGCCTTCAGACTACTTTCCTGCCTGAGCCAGCTCACCTAGGAAAGGCCAGGAAATTCCCTGTCAACATGAAACTTTCCTTTCCATTCTAAATCAGTGTTGGCTTCTATGTGAGTTTCACAAAACAGCACCCATTAATCAACATCCTATTCTACCAAGGATCCTTTTTAGGTTTGCAGATGAAGTCCACATCCATCTGGCCCTCGTGGTTTGCCCCTTTTTGTTCCTCTAGCCTCGTCACTTAGGACTCAAGTCTCCTTTTCTCTCTCCCTGTCTCCCTATCCCTTTCTGAACTTGTTCTCTCACCTTAATTCTTTCCCCCCTGGGGCCTTGGCACCTTTCATTCTTTCTGCTTGAAATGCCCTTCAAGTGCCTACTCTGTGCACACCTCTCCCTTCTTTACCCAGTTTGGACTCACCTTTAATGCTTGGCATAAGGGATATTCTTCCAGAAAATGCTTCCTCACCCACTACTCCAAGTTTTCTTTATTCAAAGCTCTGTCGCAAGACCTTCGCACTGTGTTTTAAAAGTACTTTTCCCTCCTGAGTCACTCAGACTTAATGTAGAAATTTGGACAATATGGGAAAACTTTCAAGAAGAATGAATTACACATAAACCCAAAACTTAGGGATTATAAGCATTGTTAACATTTTTATTGAAGTAACATTGGTCTATAACACTGTGTACCACCTAGGGGAATAGGTTCACACCTCTTAGATTTATGTTGCCATTTTGATGAACTTCCTTCCAGTATTTTTTCTATGCCTATATTTTCACATTTTTATAAACTCAGAAAAGGAAAAAAAACACACGCTGCAAAAAAGACCAAGAGAATATTAACTGAAAACAATTCACTGCGTGTAGTGTTTTCTAGGTGACTAGAATTTTTTTTAATATTTTATTTTATATAATTCTTACATCATTTTTCATTTTTGCACAATGTATGCATTTTCATTCTGGTTATATTCCCCATACATTTGCACCACCCCCCTCATTTTGACCCTGGTCCTTCCTCTCCCCAACCCTCCTCCCCTACCCCCCGTGTGACTAGTAATTTTTTTATTATTATTTTAATATTTTATTTTATTTTTTTAGATTTATTTATTTATTTACACAATCACTGGGTACAGTCAGAAGCGCGGGAGGGTGAGAGAATTCACCAGAGCCAGAGCGGGGAGCAGAGCAGGCAGAAGGACCGAAGTACACTGCTGAGGGGAGCAGCGGGCGGCAGGAGAGGTCTGCGCGCCATGTGGGACCCTCCTCTGGTGGCCGGGGAGCAGCCGGGGATGGAACAGGCGCTGCAGAGGCTGCGGGCAGCTTCGCAACCCAGCGCTCAACCGCTGCGCCACCGGGGAAGCCCGTGACTAGTAATTTTAATAGTTTTGGATAATTTAAAAATCAGATTGCAGAGACTTTTGGGCAGTACCTGAACAGAGATATATGCTGCAAAATAAGTGCTTCAACAAATCTGTTTACTCTTTAATACTCATTTATATTGTCTTTTTTTAATTTGGCTTTTTTTCCAAATAATGTTTATTGAGGTAAAGTAGGTTTACATCTTTTTTTAAAAAAAGATTTATTTATTTATGCATCCAAGAGCTGGAGTACAGGCCAGAGTTGTGGGGGGGGTGAGAGGATTCACCAGAGACAGAGTGGGGAACAGAACAGGCAATTTGACTGAAACACACTGCCAAGGGGAGCAGCCGGCAAGCCAGGAGAGGTCTGCTGCGCCATGTGGGTTGCTCCCTGGCTTGCCGGGAAATCGAACTTGTGCTGCAGAAGCTGAGGACAGCTTCATAGGTTGCGTCTTAAACCACTGTGCCACCAGGGAGGCCCCAGGTTTACATCTTTGTATCTGCTCTAGGACTTATAGGTTTAAACCCCTGCAAATGTGTGTATCATCTGACAATGTAATCCCGTGCACAGCTCGAGAGTGGCTTGAGTCACATTAATAGAAGGAAGTCACTGTTGAAAGTTTGTTCTTTTTGTTTCTGGAGACACTGCATCATACTGAGTTTCTTCCTAATACATTTGACCTCTTCACTCTCCCTTCAGTGCCTCCTCTTCTCTCTTCTTTAGTAAAGGAACCATCATTTGATGGATCTTCTTTATGTAAACTTAAAAAGAAAACCAATCTCTAAGGTTTTTCTTATTCTCAGCTTCATCTATCACCTCTGTGTGAATCTACAGTGCCTCAATCTAGATTTCCAAAATGTCTCATATACAGAACTAGTTCTTTAGAAAGCAGACTCTGAGGTGCAAATTTACATGCAGAAAGTTTATTGGGGCAGGGGTGCTGTCGGGGTCAACAGCCGAGGAAAACAGGAGAAGACAACAGGACTCAACAGAGGGAGAAATTGAAATGTGAGGTGGTCTCTGCAGACACTAAGGGGAATTCTGATAGGCACCAGGTTGGAGTAAAGAACACTGGAGAACTGGTTCAGGAGGTCTAATTTGGGATATGAAAAATAAAATGGACTAAGGGATTAGGAAAGAAGTTATACAAAAAGATTTTCCTGAAGGATATATTTTCAGATCAGATAGACTCAACAAAGACCCAACACGATGAATGAAAATGACCCACAACAAAACATATCATCATGACAGAGTAGAGTTCTGGACATAAAGAATAGTAGCTGAATGAGAAAGAGAGCGAAGGAGAGAAAGAGAAAACAGGCCACGTGCTGCATCAGATTAGTATCAGACTTCTCAATAGCAATATTATAAGTTAGAAGACAATGGAGATTTGTTTTTCAAATGGAGATTTGAGATTCCATTTTCTTAAGGAAAAACAATTTCCAAACTAAAATCTTATGCCTAGTTAAGCTTTCAGTGAAATATAATGGGAAAGAAACACAAGAACTCACAATATATCTTCCATGTGTCACTTTTCAAAAAATTACTAGAAAATCTGCTCCACCAAGACAAGGCAGTTAAGAATAAGACATGAAATTAATAACAGCAATAACAATAAACAAGAACCAAAGCATCCTACATAGGAAAGAAGGAAAAGAAATTCTAAGGATAATATGGTATGAAGGGGTATGAGAAAACTAAATCCTAATTTTCCATTACAGGAATCTATAACTTAAAAATAAAAAGATAATAGTATAAGGTTGTTATTTAGCTGTATGAGGGTAAAAAAAACAGAAGGAAAAGCTGAAAAGATGAAAGGATTTCCTGGAATTTCATGGAAGCAGGAATTGGGGGAGGGAATGGTTAAGAAAAGGATGGTTACTTTTCTTTATAAGACTCATACTAGTATTTGACTTTTAAACTAAGCACATTAGTGCTTTCATACAAATTAAATAGGCAAAAAGTCCATTAATATGTCAGAAATAATTTGTAAATTGTGTATAAAACTAGCCTCCTCACCCACGCTATTAGAAATAGTCTTTTAGGAGAGAAAGCAAGCTTCTCTGATGTGTCTTTCTTCTTCTGCAAATGGTTTTTGAACAAATTCTTGGGAGCCCATCAATATGCCAATTAGAAGAAAATGCAAGAGTAACAGCAGGAATCATGACTGAAAGGAAACAGTTACCATCCCATAAAATTATTGCCTTTACCAAATTAGAATAAACCTGTCAAGACAATGTTTAACTATCTTTATGTAAAAATCAAACCCGTCTGACTTCAACTGTCAAACAGACTCTTCCAACTTGCCAGTAATAAAGTGGCCCTTAGCAAGTTATATACTTCAAGTTGCATTTGCAGTTTGGGGAATTGTAGCTGACTGGCCCCATGAATCCAGATACCCTGCCTTTTCTAAGGCTGCCTCCCACACACTCTTGAACTGCTGGCTCATTTAGTTGGCCCAGCAATTGCTACAGGCTGGCTGGATGTGGCTCCTGCAGGAAAACTACAAAGTAAAATATCATTGTACCTACCTCACTGATCAATAAAACAAAATAAAAAATCTAGCTTCCCCATTTGGGTGAGAGGCAATTTTCTGTGACTTCTCACATTTGCTAGAACTTTACAAATATGTATCCCCCCAACCACAAGATGAGTCAAATCGGTACAATACTAGTTATTTTTCTGTCCTGCCTCATCCTTTATACAAAGTATTTGAGAATAAAGAGAGAGAGAGAGCAGAATACAGCATGTGATTTGCAGAGTCTGGGGGCGGGGCTAATGCTGCAGGAAATGGCCCTCAAAGGACTGTGGGGAAAAAAGGGAAAGTGAAGAGTCCAATGCAAATCACATTTGTCACAACTTGGGCTCTTGGAGCTGAGGAACTCATCATGAAGGGATGATCAGTACTAGGAGACAGATGAACACTAACAAGAGTTGAATACTTAGAGATCTCTCTGCCAGTTTCTTGTTTTAAAAACAGTTTTATTGAGACATAATTCACATACCTTCCACTTAAAGTGTACAATTCAATGGTTTTCAGTTTATTTACAGAGTTTTATAACCATCAATCAATTTTAAAACACTTTCACCACCCCACACCCCAAAAAACAAACCCCTTAGTGGTCACCCTCTCCTTCCCCATAATGCCTCTCTCTGTCCCACCACACAATTAGGCAACCTCTATTCTATGTTGTTTCTCTGCATTTGCCTTTTCTGAGTATGTCAAATAAACAAAATCATATAATATGTGGTCCTTTGTGTCTAACTTCTCTCATATAGCACACTGCTTTCAAGATTTAGCCATATTGTAGCATGTATCTGTACTTCCTTTTTATGATCAAATAACATTGTACTGTATGATTATACCATGTTTTATTTATCCATTCATCAGTTGATGAATTGTTTAACGAAAAATGCAATAATGACAACATAAATTTGAAAAAGGAAAGCAGTTTTTATTCATCAATGGTCAGCAATAGCAGTGCGAACAGAAGCATAGTTCCTAAACCTAATTATCCACCATAGTAATAAGATTTATTTGAAGACAAAAGGAGGTGGTGCTAGCCTTTGAGTTGATTTTATAGATTGGTGCATTTGTTAAACAACTAGGCAATATCAAATATTATATTATGGCACCCTATGTCCTCAGCAAGTAAATTGGTTTGAATAGGGGGAAATGCCTGTAGTGAATGAAAGATGGCTACAAATTCTTTGGTTTCCTCTCATCAACAGATGGGATCTATAGTCTTTCACATGAAGACTGGGTTAACCCTATATCTTTCTTGGTTCACAGGATGCAACAGATATTAGACAGTAATTTCTAAAACTGAGTCTTGAGAGATCTGCAGTTTCTGCCTCCGGGTGTTAGAAATATTATCTGTTGGCACCCAGATGCCATGCTTTGAGAAGCTCAAGCCAGGTGGAAAGGCTACATGAGGAACTAAGGCACTTTGGTCAATAGATCCCCCTGAGCTTCCAGTCAACAACTGCCAGCATGTCAGTGAGCCAGCTTAGCAGTTCCACGCCAGTGAAGTCCCACATGATTCAGCCCCATCCAACACCACATGGAGCAGAAGAACCATCCAACTGAGCCCATCAGCCCACAGAATTGTGAAATACAATAAAAGGTTGCTGTTATTTTAAGCCACTAAGTTTTGAGTGGTTTGTTATGCAGAAATAAATAACCAAAACAAGCCCTGATTCGATCAAAACAGGTTGTGTTTACTGGAAAGGGAGACTAATTCCAAACTTTGTTCATCCCTAGGAATAACAAAGTGGGACAGATATAAGACTTTCTGCCTCCCAGGCAATTCTCAAGAGAAATAGTTTAGTTGGCTGTAGAGGAATTAATAAGACAATGCAATAAAGTGAGATAAACTGTGCTATGTCAGCAGTGTCACTGACAAAGTGTATAAAAACTATTGTGCCATTAATATAAGCAATCTAATCACTACAGGGTGTACAAAGCAAAATAATCAACTTGCAGTTTGATGAGAAGAGTATGTAAAATCAGTGGCTGTAAAGAGCACAGTGGAGTCAATAAAGTTTATGAACATGGAATTTGTTGTCCATGAATGTGGGTAACAAATATACAACAAGTTCTGTATTTAGGAAAAAAGGAAAGGGCCTTCTGTGGTCTGAGACCACATTCAGAATTAACAAATACCTACCTACTGCCTGATTTGTTTTGGTTACATCCAGACTGTTGCATTTATTCTAGTTTTTTCTGGCTCTGTTTTTGTCTATTCATTTGTCATTTGCCCATTTGTCTCTAACCCAGTGCACTCCTACTTATCAAGGTCCAGTTAACACCACTTCTATGAAGCCTTCCTTTATTTCTCCTACAAATAAATAATCATTCCCCCCCCCATGTTCCAATGATACTTCCTTGTTTTTTAAGACTTATTTTATTTATGCATACAAGAACTGGGGTGGAGGATTGAGGTGCAGGAGGGGGAGAGGATTCACCAGAGACAGGGTGGGGAGCAGAACAGATCTACTGAAATACACTGTTGAGGGGAGCAGCAGGCGAGACAGGAGAGGTCTGCTGAGCCAAATGGGTCAGCTCCCTGGTGGGGGATCGAACTCATGCTGCAGTGGCTACAGATTGCTTCATAGTGCTGAGACTTAACCCTTAGTGCCACCAGGGAGGCCCCCCAATGATGCTTCTTACAAGATGTTAAAATACTACTTACCACCTTGTTTCATTTTCTGGTTACATGAGCTCACTGGGTATGGGGCCAAGCCTTGGTCCATTTATGTGCACTCTAATGGGTTAGACATGGTCCTGGGCACCTGGAAAGGCTGCATAGTGGGTGCTCAGTGTTCCAATGGGTAAGTGGATGAATAGAAAGAAGGCTAAATGGGTGCATGTGAGGATTCCCCTCAAATTGTGACTTAAGTGGGGAAAGGTAGGAAAGGAGTAAGTGTTAGCTTGAGATCTCTTTGTGAGAGTCTAGACATAGAAGTACTACTATTGGAAAGACAGTTTGGAGAGTCTGCTTTGAAGCACACACACCTTTAATTTAAACTTAATGTTTTTTGGGAGTAGATTTAGGAGACCATTCAAGGTTACAGAAAGGTTAAAACCACTCCTTAATATAGCCACTGGAAAAGTTACTTGAAAAATAAGTCTGACTGCATCTCTAAAGCTTACTGGCTGGTGGCCATGTCAGATGTGCTCACAGAAGGCAACTGGACCTGAAAACAAAATGACCTAATTGGAGTCACTGGGTGCCACCAGGTGACAGCAGAAAGGCATTATGATTTCATAGCACTGGACATAGAACCTCTGTAGAAGGGGGTCTCTGCTTTCCAGACCAGTGTTTCTCAGCCATTCCTGAGCTCCATTTCTTGGAGAGAGTATTTGATTCATTTAAGGACAGGACACCCCCTGCCCCCAAGTGTTTTCTAAATTCTTCTTGTGTGTGTCCAATGGACAGTCACGATTGGGAACCATTCATTGCTCTAGAAGCTTAGATTCGGATCCAGATATAATGACGAGAACCTCAGTATGTACAAGACACTCTGGCAACAGAATAAAAACACTGTCTGCGCATGAAGAGAGCCACATTGTATATACACTAATTCAGCTGACATTTATTGGGTGTCTACGATGGGCTTGGACCCGCACTGGGCTGAGATACAGTGATGTGCAGCTCTCATGGGATTTATATAAGTCTAGTTAGGGTATTAGACATTAAATAATAAACACATATGTAATTACAAATGGTGATAAGTGCTATGGAGGAAAAGACAGATACTATGATGCAGAACCATCCAGTTTAGGTGGATTGGGGCAGGAAAGGAAAGCAGAGAGCAAGTGTCGCTTAGGCTGAGACCTAAGAATACAATTCAATCGTGTGTATATATATATATATATATATATATATATATATACACACACACACACACACACACACACACACATATATTTGAGGAGTTGGAGGCTTGCATTAGTTTGAACCACATGAAATTGCTGATATTTAACCATTTATGATCTATAAAATGGCAATTTCATATGGTTCAACCAAACGCATGGAGTCTGAGCAGGGACCTGGGAAAGCAGGCATGAGGTGCTCAGTTTTCACCAGAGCAGGGACAGGTGGCTGCCAGATTACAGGCAACTGCTGCAAAGGGACAAAGTTTGCACTCCCCTGTTATAAAAGCAGCATTGGAATTTGAACAGTATATTTAATGTTTATAATATCCTTTTGATTTTTAAAGACCATGCTTGTTCTCACATAGCTCAATCAATGTTTGGAGAAAAATCCAAACTTCCATTACCCCCCCCCTTATAAAATAGAGGTGGGGAGCACAGTTGTTGCTTAAAAATGTTTGGGTTTGGGGATTGTGCATTTTTTGGTGACTCAGCCAGTCCCCTCACCACGTAACCACATGATGCTGTGATGACGCCTGTTCATGTTCCAGTTACTGTGACTGCAAAACAAGCCACCTGGAATTTAGTTGTTAAAACAACCACCGTCTACTCTGCTCGTGGCTCCAGGGATTAAGTACTGCAAAGGGCACATGGGGAGGGTTCTCTGCTCTGAAATGTCTGAGGTCTTGGCTGAGATTTGGCTGCTAGGGGCAAGAATAGCTGGGATTGCAGGATCCTCTTCCAGGCAGAGGAGGGGGGCCGAGGTGGGGGGGGGTTCTCCACTCACTTGTCTGGAGCCAAGGCTGGCATCAGTGGAAGGCCAGCTCCTCTGGGACAGAAACTGTACTGCCCCACATGGTTTGGGCTTCTCACAGCCTGGTGCTAGGTTCTCAGAGGAAGGGTCCCAAGAGGGGGCCTTTGGAAAGCGAGAATTCATTCCAAGAAAACTGTGCCAAAACTGTAGGGCATTTTCCGATGCTGTTTCAAAGTCCCGATGCATCCTTTCTGCCACCTGTATTGGTTGAAGCAACAGGAGCTCACCCAGGTCAAAGCAGGGAGAGGGGAGGACAAAAACCCTACCTCTCACTCAGAAGAGCCCAGGTCTTCACATGGCAGAAGAGTGTGGGGAAGGAAGGTTTTATTGCACTTCAGCTTTGACAGTAAAATCCACTGTGAGGTGATTAGAAAGGAACATCCAGACAAACTTTCAGGAGTGAGGTAACAGCTTAGCACAGCATGGTAGTGTCTGTACCAAGTGAAGGCAGAGGTATCTGCCTATTGCCCCAGAAGGAGTTTTCCAGAAACAACCTTCTCTTGCTGCAGTACTGGTTCTTCCTGAGAAGATGGAGACGTCACACTCAGTTTAGGGAGACAGAGGCCTTCTGTCGGCAGAGTCAGAATTTTGCAAAGTTTAGGGGGAATCAGTCTTCCAAAGAAACCAGAGGCTCAGTTTGAAAGACTGTTCTCTAGAGCAAATGGCACAAACAATATTTGAGATTTAGGGACCGGAAGCAGAAGCAGATGTCAAAACTTAAGACATCTACAGTCTAGAAGGAAGGAACCAGTGGAATACTCTGACCTTTCTCAACTCTTGCCCTTCCATCTCCTGCCAGGGACTCCCATTTGGCCACATCAAACCAGAGGCCAGCAGACAGGAAGCCTGGCCCATGTGTCCCCTAGGGGCACAGAACAGCCTGGGAAGGGAGGTGGTGAATCTGGAGCATATGCCCCAAGTTAAAGACCATGTTCAGAGTCTGTAATCCTGAGTCTACAGACACCTGGACCAGGTAGGCCCAACCTATTACGTTCAAGATTCTGTCAGCCAGGATGTGCCAAACTGAGGTGAGCAGTGTGCCTCTCTTATTACTGAGGCTCATTGCTGTTCATGATAGCACTGCAGTAACTTTCTGAAAAATGTGCCCCATGTTAGTTATTACAGGACAGGGTAACATGGTGGTTAAGATCGAGACTCAGGAATCACAAAGTCTGAGTTCAAATCCTGATTTTGTCACATATTAGCTGTGTAGCCTTAGGTAAGTTACTTAACTTCTCTGCTTTAGTTCTCTTGTTCAGAAATTAGGGATGAGGATCCCACCTCATGAGTTTCTAAGGACAAAATAAGATCATGTCGTAAAGCACAATACCTGGCATGAAGGAATTGATGAAGGTTATTATAGTTTTTTGCAACAGCAGCTTTCTGAGGGTAGTTTATATGCAGTAAGTTTTATACTTCTTCAGTGCAGTGTAAAGTTGTTTAAAGGTCTTTTAAGTGTTATTTTAATAATATATTTCTTAGTCTGATACATTTCACCTCCTGATACACTGCAGATGGACAAAAACATAGAACATTACCAATCACAATTTAAAATGCATACGTTCTCTGACCAGCAACCTGATACCAGGATTCTCACCCCAGTAATATGTGTTGTACCCAAACAAGGGTGCACAAGGATATCCTCTGCAGTTTGTTTATGATTTCAGAAGTCTAGAAATAATACGTGTCCTTATGGACATTTTTAGTTTTTAATTTAGAATTAATAAAACTCCCAATACACATCAAATAAATACACATCAAAGGATATGGATTATATATTATCTAAGGACACATTTGGGGACTGCAGGAATGATGTGAGCACATTATCAAAATTTTAAATTTACAAATCATGTTTCTAATGAGTGTATAGCTAAGATGTCTGGGAATGTGGAAGAAACAGGGTGGGAAGATCCACCTGGAAGTGGCTAAGGGTGGCTCCACAGTGA